ATTTGTATTTTTATAACACAATTTTACGCCGAAGGATCTGGATAACGGAGTATGAAAGAATGTAGGATATTATCAGTGCTTGGATCTTTGCATATTCAAAATATTACATATGTCAGAACGCAGGACTCAGAGTTATTTAGAGCTTTTCTCTGAATTCAGCATCAACACTACTGACTCTTCAAATAAAGACCCCTAAAAAACCAAATTACCATTGCGCTTGAGCAGTTAACGACAGAAAAACTGAAACGATTCGAGGGCTGACAGCAGGCATCCGTGCGAAGAAACCCCCCTCCCCCCGCTTCCTTGGGGACACCGAGCGAGAACGATGCTCCTCTTCGACAGCATTACGGGGTTCATTTTCGGTTTTGCGGACTAACTAGGCATTCTGCAGATATTTATTGGCAGTTGATATTTCGCCAGAAAAGAAATACATTGTTTTTTATTTCCAGAGATGACAACGCTGGTAAAGATATGGTGGATCTGTCTGCAAATGCTCAATCTGGTGAAAATAACACTGCGTCAGATATACTAGTAGCTTCAAAGAGTACCGAAGTACCACAGCTGCCGCCGGCTTTTGATGAACATCCAAGACTGCAACTATCAGGGCATTCACTTGCTACGGCCTGTAAGAAAAAACAAAAAAGAACCAAGGCGGACCGTGCTCCAAAACCACCCAAAATGAGTAAAAAGGACAAGAAAAAGGTACCCGTTGCCAGGGACAGGGAATTTGGCGCCGAGGGTGCAGTCACAGGTGAAATCAGGGAAGTACCAGCACGCGGGAAATCGAGTATGCCATTACCATTGAATAAAATAGGAAAAAAGTCAAATGAAATAGCTGCAGGTGCGTTGATAGAACGAAGAACTGAGAACATGGAGCATGCAAATCTTCCAAAATTCGATGGTAATAGCAGCGGAAAAGAGATAACAGCGCTGGAAAATACTTCTTCAACCAATGTTCCTGAGCAGTTAGAAGACAGATCGCAACGGGAAGTGACGACGGCGTCGAACAGTGATCCTCGTGTTTCGGATTTGAGCGAGGGGAGGATCTCAGATTCGTCATCGTTTTGTACTAATGCGAAGAGGAGGCGAATTGAATCTCGAAATAACAGATTTGCAACTGGCGCAAATGCAGTTCAGCCCGTGGATGCAGCTCAGTTTGGTCAAAAACATTCCGCTTCAGCGAGGAACAACAGGCCCGTGGAAGCACGTCTAACTGATGCGGTAATTTTTATTTCTTAAGCAAAACTTGACAAGTTTCTTGAGTAAACCTTGCGGAATTGAAGCCAAAAGGCTCCCACTGTTAATTTCAGGATGCGTCAGAATCACGTTCCAGAAACAGTTCATCCAATTCAAAGCATATCTACTTCGATAATGTTGCTGAAACTCGTTTGCCTCCGCGGGAATCAAGTCAGAGGAGATCGGACGAGGTAACCTATCTTCATTTCGTTCCTTGTTTTTTCCTCTCCTCCTTCCGTCATTTCTTAAAAGTCATCTTCACGTGCTGCATTCAGTTTTTTCTGGCTTATCTGGTATTAATTTATAGTTGGTTCTCCATATTTGCGGCTGTCAATTTTCCAGTTGATTTCGCTTTTATGCTTTCTGCAAATATGGAAGTTAGTGGATCAGCCAGTTTTTTTTCTAACAAAATTTTCCTTCTCAAAAAAACCAATCAGGAAGCATTCACGTGCTTGGAGAAATTTGCCATAATTAAAGAACAGTTCCAAGAGGCTTTAGGTGAAAACAGGGGCTGTACATGTTGAGGGATTCGATGTTGTACCATCATTTCCTTTGCGAATTACTTTTAGAAATCATCGAGAAAGCGTCATTGTTTTTATGATCTTTTAACACATGATGATTAAAACGGTTTTGACAAAAGCTGGCGATTTGCAGGGCACAACTAGAGAAACACGAAGCAAAAACGCGTCCTATGAGAACCGCTGTCATGTAAACGTTGAAGACTGTGCGTGCCGTAATTGTTTGAAAAGACGGCCAGGGCAGATCTTATCATCAGAAAGTGGTTTAAACAGAGAATCAGCCCCAAGCAGGAAGCGCTCACGGCGCAAAAGGCCATGTCGAGGCCGGGATTCTCGACGCAGATTGCGTGGAGAACAAAATTCCGATATGTCAGTTCAGCATAGGCGAACTCGAAAACAGCGAAGGAATTCTGGTTCTAGATGGGAAAATACCACTTCGAATTCACGCTCTTCATCAAAAAGGCATGCGGAGGAAAGTTCAAATGCAGGAACAAATGCGGTAAATCAGACTGACACCACCGGAGTTCATAATCTTGTCTCTGGAAGCCAGGATTTTATGCATGAGGTTCAGAATCGCACATCCGATGGGTGGACTCACGAAACTGACAGCCAGAGGCATGGAACTGATGTTGCAGATGATAGCGCTTTAAGGAAGAAGCCACGGTTGCCGTGGCATAAAAGAACACCGGAGAATAATATCAGGGCTTCGGAAGTGAATTTTTCATTTAAGGTTAGTTTTGAAGCAGTATGTCACGTTAGGATTTCATGGACTTTTTTAGAATTTGCAATTCAGTGGGTTATCTACAAGGCACATCGTTGTGATCTGTGAGTAACAGCATTGAAGATGGGGTGGTGATGCTCAACACACGTACCCAGGGCATTTCGAACCGATTAGAGCTGTTCCAGTTGCTTGTTTGGGGAGATAAATCTGTTGAGTTGGTATTCTTTTAGAAAACAAGCAGAACGTCAGGATCGTCAGCAGGCGATACAGCACTGAACAGGGCAGTTGAGAATGCTATCAGTTTTAAAGTTGAAGAACCAGACCTTGAGTCGCAACTGCACCAGGTATTTTCAAGTAGAAGTAGCTTTTGGAATTAATAACCAGTTTGCTTGGGTTCTCTTGGGACGGAATTTAACGGGGCCTAGGTTTAAATGTTACACCTGGAATGTAGAAAGAAACAAAGAAATGAGGTAGAAAGATTGTCGAGACTGTTACATCTAAAGAAGCCGGCATTGCGTCTCGAGACTGCTGCATGCCCACACAAGTTCTTTTTGCGCTCTCATAGGCATAAAATTGGGACTGGCTAAAGAGGAATCGTAAATGCTGATAGAAAATTGATCTATTTCTTCAGATTCCGAAACCCGGTGACGAACAGAACAAACCACCCAACGCTCCGCAAAAATCGCGAACACTTGTGTGTCGTTTATGCTCTCAGGTTATGCGTTTTTTTTTTTTTTTGGGGGGGGAATGGTCATTTTTTCTAATCATGTTGATCGTTATTGCCCTGGTCAGTAAAGCGTGTGGTCAAGAATTACGACGCGGCAATAATGTCCAGCACGCACCAAAAACATCTCGGAACAACTAATCTTTGCCAGGTGCTTCTCTCGTGAAAACCATTGAGTTGGTATTCTCTTCAACGGAAAACCAGGCAGCGTTATTTTCGAATATGATGATTTTGGGGCTTGATGCTCATGGTCCTGAGCACTTGCGATCTGCTGTGGATAAGGGAATGGGAAGAGGGAGGGGAGGGAGGAGGAGCCAGTTCAGCTTCCTCTGGAAAAACCATTTGTAAGCCCGGAGGAATTATGTGATACCGGCAGTCACTAATTCACCCTAGAAGTTAGCCTATGGCTGGGTTGTTCGCTTTGTCCTAAAGCATAAACCAACATAGATGTGAGACCAGCTCCTGCATGTCAATCTTTCTATGCGTTTTTTGCAGCAATGCAATGCGAAAAACGCATATTGGCGAGAGGTTTTCTGTGTGTGTGCCTGTGTGTGTGTGTTTGTGTGTGTGTATGTGTCTGTGTGTGCGCCGGGCCTCTGTACCGATTTTTCATCTCGAGACCGGCGAAAGCTACGGGGCTGAAACTTTGGGGACTT